TCTGGGTCTGTGACTGGTCCTGGCACTCTCTTTGTCCTCTGAGAAGGCACTTGGCCTCCCTGTCTATCTCGTTCCCTTCTCATCCTTTGTCTGCCTGGACTATTTAGACTGCAAGCTCTGTGGAGCATGGGCTGTCTCTTGCTCTACATGTTTGTGCAGTGCCTAGCGCCACGGGGCATTGAGCCCGGCTGGGGCTGCGAGGGACTGCTGTTGCACTAATAACAATAGGCAACCTGCCAACTATTGAACAGGTTGGCATTGAATCAACTCCCCTCCTCACCAAAAGAAGGAGTCTGAGCCACTGTGGGGGGAGGGCTGAAAAAGAGAAAACAATCGGAACATACAGGTGAGCTTTCTGATTGAAACCCCGAGCTTTGTCATAACGGATCCATCTTTCTTCCTGCTAGAAAGTTTCCAAAGAACAATAAATTCACTCTGGGTCTGAACTGAATGCAAAATTGATCAGACTGCAGGAGCCACAGGGAACCTATTATATATGTATGCGTGTGTGAGTGTGTGCATGGGTGTGTGTACATGTGCGCGCCATCCACAGCGAGGCGGAGGAGTCTGTGTGCGCATTGCTTATACATTCACTCGCAGCCGCTTCCTCCTGCACCTGCCTGCGGATGCCACAGAAAATTGATTTTTATGAAATGAAAAAGGTGAACCGTGGCACTCGGCAATTCCGAGCCATCTGTCTTGTCAGGGCTGGTGGTGGAGGGAAGCAGAGCAAGGTGGTTACTTAGAATTATTCATTAATAAAGATCCACATAAATCCCAGCCAAAGTGCCAGCCTGCTGCATGCAAAAGGAAAAGAAAATGACATATTTTCCTGCAAGAATTAGGCAGCATGGCTACACTCTCATCCGCCCAAAGGAAAAGCCGAGAAAGCAGTTCAGCTAAACGAATGTTCCTCAAAGGGTGCTAAGTATCTCCCGATAGGTGCTGAGTCCCTGCAGCTCCCAGTGCCTGCAGCTCTAAAAATGAAACAAGGGGTGTCTTTTAAAAATACTGTTTGGACAAAGGAACAGCTTTGGGGATGCACTGCCTCACCTTTGCTCCACCCTGGTCACTCAGAGGGGTTGGAAATTGGTTGGATCTCCTTAGCGTGGAATTCCCTGGCATAGCCAGCTCCTCCGTTGCCCCTGCCATGACCATCCCGGCTCCCCTACAACAGCACTACCATGGAGCTGGCTCCAGACCCAGTGAGCCACAACCAGCGCTGCCTAGCCGCAGCTCAGTGCCGCTGAGAACTTTGTCCAAAGTCCTCTCCCACCTCCAAAGTAGGGGATGAAAGTACTTGCCAGCCTCAGCTGCCTTTTCCCGCACTTGGACATTTATTAATGTAGACTGCATTCCAGGTATGTGTTTCTTGCCTTCATTTCACCTCGCCAGCATCACCTTTGTTTCAGGTGCTTTGATTGACTTTCTGTTCTTTTTAAGCTGGCTCCTTTTCAGCCTTCTTTTAATGCTATTTTTCTTTTCATATCACGTTGCGATATGGAGCTGGGTTCTCTGCTGCAATAAATCAGCGTAGCTCTGCTGAAGACAAAGGACCTGCTAGTTTCCTTCGGCTAAGGACTGCGTTTTAAAAACCGAAGGAGTGCATTCTCCTCTGATTTTATCATTAACCTTCTCTGTACATGGAATTCGACTTCAGGTTATAAACTGTACTGTTTGGATTTCAAAGTGGCAGACTGTATCTTCCTGTTATTTTTCCAATATTGTATTATTTCAGAGGCCTCTGTTTTGAGATTGCGTCGGAGATTACAAAGCCCCCCACAACCCTCTTCTGTTCCTGAAGAATCAATCAAGCTAAACTAATACTTTAATAACTACTTTTCTTACCAAGGAAATAAATTCAGGCATATGCACGTGCACGCGTGCACCCGCACACACTCACACACACACACACACACAGACACACATACACTTACACACACACACGGAGTAATGCAGCAAGGAGCTGAGGAGGACCTCGTCTGGTCAATGAAAGGAAGAGACGGATGTCTGGTGCCATGGCAATGGAATACGGATTACTTTGCTCTGAAAAATAGGTTCCTTTTTTTTTTATTCCAGTGCTTTTTCTCAGGCAGCTAAGAGTTGTCACTGAGTCTGATGAGAGGCCCCTTTAGAGGAAAACAAGTCTCTGAGTAGAATTGAATGCCTGCTTTCACCGACTGCTGCTTGAACGGTCTGCTTTGCTTTTAAGAAAAATAAGGATACAAATGACCATGTTTGTTTGGAGCACTTTCACAACCAGTGTGTGCAAGTGTGTGCGTGCGTGCATGCCCATTTCAGTAATTTGATATAGATTTAGATGTGTGGGAAACCAGTGTACATTAGAGAGCGATTTGTGGAGGGGTTTGACTGTTAAAAATGTTTCACATTGCCAGATATCATGTAGGATCACATAACTGAGCAGTTTGTGCTTTTACCCCCTTGAGCCTGAACCTCGGTGGGTATCAGGTTGTCCTATTGAACTGTTTACACCAGCTGACAGTCTGGCCTCAAGTGATCAGGAGGTTTTCAGACCAATCATCTTCCATTAGAAAATGCCAATTCATCAAAGCCCGTGACCCTCAGGGGGAAAGGTTGGCTTGGGCCAAACTTTTCCTCTCTCAAAAATGGTGAGAAAGTGTTAAAATTGTCACAGAAAAAACCCCCCAACCCCTTTGTTTTGATGTTTACAAAATGCAAAAGTTTCCTGTTCGAAATGTATCTCTTTCATTCACTCTAAGGAAATTCAAGTGAAAAAAGGTAAAAACAAAAAATATTAAAAAAAAATAAAATCTGAAGGAACCGTTTGGAAATGATCAAAGCAAGCTGATTTGTTGGACCCAAGCTGAAATAGTTTGCAAAATCTTTGGAGAGTCTGGCATACTATCAGTTTTTAGGTTGGGATTATTATTTTTTTAATCGTAAAAAAAAGGATCTAGAAAATAGTTCTGTGTCTGGCCCTTATCTGACCCAGGCGGAGTAGAGAGGTTGTGAATCTCCATCCCTGAAAGTTTTGAGAGCAGGTTGGAAAGACACTTGACTGGGATGGTTTAACCAGGGACCAACCTGCCTGGACCAGGGGGTGCACTGATGCAGTCTCAGCTATCTTCTACAGGGCAGCTCAGCTGCTGGCAGCTCCAGTTCCCCACAGCCTGAATACTTGGATCACCAGCAAGGTCCAGGCATGACTGGAGTCCTGGGCTGGTGGGAGATACCAGGGGCTTCCAAGTAGCATTGGATGAGGAAGAGAGGGACCTGTTTCACTGCAAGTCCAGCATCCCATGCTGCTGCTCGTGGAAGCCGTGGCTGGAATGGGGCACAAGCAGCCCTGGTGCTTCCCCTGCCTCCATGTCTGCTGGGGACAGTGGGGGCTGAGGGCCCATGATTGAACTAGGTGATCTCCTGAGGATCCTTCCAAAGCTACTGTCCTGTGGGTCTATGATTATTTAATCTTTCTAACAACCTCAGAGAAACAGGCAGGTATGAGCAAAGCCATTTACAGCAGGTGAGATGACGTATATGTAAGTCGAGGATTTTGTTAGGGGTTTGCCATCAATTGCCATATGATCTAGGGTTAGACAGGGGGAGCCTCTGTCCTCCTTTGGCCAGTTCTGTGCTCAGATGGCAAATGGAGAGGTTATCTGGCCTGTCCTTTCTGAGGATGAGACTGCTGGGCTGATGTACCCACTGGGAGTTAATTCCACCAAAGCCGGTGGGCTTGATTATCTAGTGCTTCAGAACTTTTTTCGTTGTGGAGACTTGAGCAAAGTGGGACAGGCTTTCAGCTGGTGTAAACCAGCTTGGCTTCATCAATGTTAATGGGGCTATGGCAGTTTATACTGAGCGAGGAGTGGAGAGCAGGGGTGCTTTGTTAATGATTTGCGCCCACATCTTGTTCATGTGAATGGTGCTAAATAGAGGAGATCCAGGCCTTTAGTACCTATTTTGCTATGCTCATTTTATGATCAGCATCAAGCCCCCCCCCCCCCCCCCCCCCCCCCCC